GCACCCTGACAGGTAGGAGATGGTGATAGACGCATATCTAAATATTAGTGTTTCTTTGAGCCTCTGTAACTTGTCACGAAACAACCCAAATGAGCAGCATTGTTATTTCCAGAGAACTAACGCACCATCACTTAATGACAACCTTCCGGGATCACAGGCGCAGCGAGTGAGTAATTCGGCATCCTCCAGGCTTGAAGGCTTTCTCGACAGGGAGCCGTTGGGATCTGTTGAGCTACTCTAAAATCTGTATTTTAGATAAATAATTGTGCATGTTTGCAGGCTGGAAAAGGGGAATGGTTTGACTCGGAGGGTGGTTGTCTTTTGATGTCTGCGAGAGCAGAGCCCGTGGAGCGGTTGAAACCGAGTTTTGCTATCCTCTGCTCGCCAGATATTAAGTAGTGTTGAATTAAACCATGGATGTTAGGAACAGGATGAGCAATGAGCCCTTGCACTCCTTTTAAGCCTCAAGTCTGTTTTGTTGAAAGGATTTTGATGCAGAGAAGCAGGGTGAGTGTGTAGGTGACAACGAGCCCGCAGAGATGATGTGTGCTCCCTGTAGCCATGCCCTTGGACAGAAACGGGGGTGAGTGCTGAGGTTAGGGGTGTTGGGATATTTGGGTGGCTGGAGGGTCTGCTGTGCAAGGGCTGGCAGGTTCATAAGGTGCCTGTGTAGCGGTTTGCTTTGATGTTTGGTGTTCAGAGTCGCTGATACCTTTTAAGAAGAGATGTGTGGGGCTTGCTCCTCATCACCGAAGCACTGATGTGGTGCTGTGGGACACCAGGAGGTCCAGGTCCTCTTCTGAGGGTGATGTGGTGCAGGTGAAGGGGGATGCTGTCAGTGGGGAGGTCAACCTGTGGTGCGGGTCTCCTCGGCGGGGAGAAGCCTATTCGTCTTCTCCCCACAGGCTGCTCTGGGTGTGTTTAATTACCTTTTTTTCAGATTGCTTCCTGTTGCTACAGTCTTCTTGTCTGGAGTAGCGTGTTCTTGAACTTAAAAATGCTTAAATATAAACACATATTTGAACTATTTTCTGATTAGATTTTTGCTCTGAAATCTCTATGTGGGATCATATCTAAGTTTTGCTGTGATTTGCTTATTTCCGTAGCGTTAAACGCCTTCTCTACACTAGACTTGTGAAGAGCCTGCCTTTTACAGGCTGTCTGGCATCAAATCCTCATCCTCTACAAAAAAAAAACCAAACCCCAAACCCAGCATTTACAAGCATGGTAGCTCAGAGCAGGAGGTGAGCAACACTGCTTGGGTGTTCCTACAAGAGCAGAGCATCCTCCTCCAGCATCCATGGAGCTCCCGAGGCATCTGCAGGCTCTGCAGGATTGCCTTGTGGAATAGCAATGGAAGAAAATTTAATTTAAATAAAAACCTGCTTGTGGTTTGGCTGTGGGCAGTGCTTTCTCTAAATAATGAGTTGAAGAGCAGCAGAGCAGGAACCTCACTCTTCGTGTTGGCTCTGGTGTGGGCTGGGTTGGAAACAAAATGCTACTTAGCAAACATCTTTGTGCAGTAAAGGTGCTTTTTTAAAATAGTACAGCCTCTTGGTTATGTTGCTCACAGATCTCTTTGCTTTTGGTCAAGAGCTTAGTTCAGTGGTTCAAAACCATTTCTGAACATAAAACTTAAAAGGGAGGGAACCACCCATGAGCCCACACATCAGAGAAGCACACTTGGGTCTTGCAGCAAGATGTTTGTCTGCACCCAGTGAGTTATTGGTGCTGGCTGCTGCTATAAAATGTTTATTGGGAAGGGAAGGGCTTGTACGTGCCCATCTCCACATCGCCAGCCCTGCTGAGGGGGTCTGGCTGAGCTGCAAGGTTGTTCCCGGGAGATGGAGGAAAGACGTGGAGACATTTGCTCATTGCCAGCAAGACCCACCTTCCCACACTGGGAAAGGTCTGTGACTGCAGCTTTGAAATCCAAACAAGTAAACATTTCTTGTTCCAGAAATGTTGGTATTTAAAGAGAGAAAACTACGTCCAGAGGAAATGTTTGTTTGTGGACTGTCCCTCTTGTTTACCACGGCTGATAAGAGCTGCTTTTCAGCTGTGCCCTCCCTGCAGTTGGGATTGTAAGAGCTTTGGTTTTGCCTTTTTATTTTTAGGAGAGCAACATGCATCCAATGTGTGTTTTGATAATGATGCTTACAAATGTATTTATTCAAAACAAACACAGTAGGAAGCAACTACAAAGCAGACTGCTTTGGCAGCTGGTGCAAAAGGGAGCTTGCTATTTTTGTGTGTTCGTGGTGGGATAGTCTTGCAACACGTCCATCCCACTCTATGCGTGTCAGGGCTTCAGGAGCTTCACCCCGGGATTTGGCCATGGTGAGCCTGTCCTGCATCATGGGCTTGGGGTGATGTATGTTTGGCTGAATGTAGCTTGTTGCCCCTGCACCACCTTGCAGCATCTCCAGGAATTTTTGGAGAGCTGCTGAGAGCATGTGTTGGCTGCATGGTAGCTGGGGTGACTCTGCAGACAGAGCCGTGTGTTGCTAATGGGGCCAGCAGCATCCCTAGCAAGGGATCGCGGGAAGAGGAGAAACAGCAATAAGTTGCAGGGGCAAGTCACCCACATGCTGCCATCTGCAAACCAATTGCAGCCCTCTGCCCCCCGGTGAGTGCGCAGCCCCTTCAAAACCTCTCCTGAACCGAACTGCAGATGTTACTCGTTTAGGGGAGAAGGAAATTCAGCATTGTGGATTTTTTTTGCTTCCCCCCCAAAGCGAGCAGCAGGCGTGAAGCTGCCCCCTCCTCGAGGGTGGTTGTGGGAGCCGGCTGGGTGCTGCATGAATCCACTGTAGCCTTTCATTTGACTTGGATTTTACAGCTTTCTCGTGGAGCCTGTTCTGTGATAATCTTGCAAAAACAATCTTCTGCAGGACTTCTGGGGAAATGAGGTGACATAATGCCCAACTCAGCAGTGTTTTGGAGAATTACCCTTGGGTGCTCTTGTTGCCTTGTGGGCTATGCCAAGCTGTCCTGTCTTCTCCCATGCGAAATGCTGGAGGAGGAGAACTGATGCAGTGTGGTTTTCTGCACATCTGCGTCTCCATCTAGCTTGGAGCCTTGCCACGTCTGGATTTTGGCAGCATTTTTGCCTTGCAATATCCCTGGTGCATCAGGTGCCCTCAGATGCCCGTGCAGGCTGTCTGCTTGGATGCCCGTTTTCTCAGTGCAGGTAGAAAGCTGCTGTTTCAGTGGCCTCCACCTCTCCATTGGGTTTGGAGAAACCCAGCACAGCACACTGAGGGGAGATGGTGTGTAGGACATGAGGCTGTAAACCTGGCTTCTGCAGGAGACCAAGCTAAAATGGGCCCTGCAGCTCATCCCAAAGCTGGCTGGTGGAGCTTGTCCAAGCGAAGAGGTTTCAAACAATATAGAGAGCCTGTCCCAATTGTGATACCGCTCTGAATCACTCCGATGGGAGCACAGACCCTGTGGGTTACCATGCCCGCTTTTCCAAAAGCCCTCCTTGCAATGCTCCCCCCCACCCAAACCAAAATCGAAAAAAACCCAAACCTCGTAAACTCAGGAAAATTGCATTGCTGGAGAAACACATTCATTGAATGTCTCTAACGCTGCTTTGTTTTAACCACAGCTTTAACAATGATAAGCTTTTGCATTAAATGCAGGGGAAGAGTAGTTTGGAAAGCTAGGAGGGCTTTTCTCTTTCAAGCACTCTGGTTATTTTGGCAATCAGGATGAGTTAAATTAAAATTGTTGAATGCAATAATATGTAGGAGGGTGACATCTTGAAATGTTTCTTAATTTTAAGTATGTATTTTGAGCAAATGTTTGTATGCTGCGGCTTGGGCTGGGGGGATTGAAAGGCATATTGGATTATATGCTATTTGGTCTGTGTAAGCAGTGGCAATTTATTGCTGCAGATGCATGTGATGCAACGCGCAAAGATTAGTTCTATCCTCTCTAAAGCATGATTATTTTGGGTCCTCTTTATACCTTAAATAGATATTCTTCTCATGTGATTTCCATCTTTTTGTGTCAACAGCCCAGGCTAAAGTTGAAATAAACATTGCATCAGCTTAATAGCACAGGCTCTGAAGAAATCTGCTCTCTATTATGGGGACTGTTTGGAAGCCTTTTCATTTTACATTTCTTCAGTGTGCAGTGCAAAGATCTCATGAATCCTGAAGCCTGCTCTCTTTCACTGGACCTTTCCTGGGCAGGTCAACGTAGTTGATCAACACTGATGAGTCCCATCCAGAGCAGAGCATCAGTGTGGTTCATGGTGTTTAAATATCCCTCTTTTTCATTCATGGTGAGGATCTGTGGCCTCTTTCAGGGACATTTAGAAGTGAGCAGCTGTTAAAATTTGTTGTGGCCGTGGAATTTTTGACTCTCAAGCAGCGGATTTCTCCCTCCGCTCGCTGTGGTGGTGAAGGATGCCGTAACGCTGCAAGCCATCGCGGGCCGTCTGGGGTTTTGGCGTGGCATGGTAGCAGGAAGTTTGCCTGGTCATGTGCGTGTCCTCATATGGTTGGACTTGATGATCTTAAAGGTCTTTTCCAACCTAAATGATTCTTGATTCTCAACTGCTCTGCTCCCACAGCCAGTGCTGCCAGAGGGGAACAGGGATTTGGTGGAAGAGAGGACCTCAGGACAGCCCTGTGGAGCAAGACCCTCTGCTACCTCCTCCCCTTTCCCTAATCTTGCTTGCATTTTTTTAATCATTTGCTCTTGTCAGGCTGTAGAGCTGGTGCCAGAGCATTTAGCAGTTTGGAGTCAGTATCATCCAAATGGTGGAAGATGCATGGGTAAATGTCGATAGAGATGTTTCTATCAAAGCAAACCTTAGCAAAATGAATGATTTTGCTCTTAATGAATTTGTAGGCTGGAGTCAGCAGGACAGGATGGTGTGACTGGCGAACGTGGTGTGTCTGTTCTTGTGGCTTGGTTTGAATAGCTTAATGCAGACTTAAATATTGGAAAACTCTTGTTTGAGACCTTTTGCACCTCTCTTACAGCATCATCATGACAACAGAGAAGAGTCTAGGGGCGGACGCCGACAATTCGGAGCAGCAGCAAGCCAAGGAGGAGGAAGGAGCTGCTGAAACACAAAAGCAAGAGGCTTCCCTAGAGGAAGGGGCTCAGCAGACGTCGGAGGGACAGCCTGCAGTGGGGCAGAAGCAGAAGGCCTCCAACGGTGATACACCCACACACGAGGAGCAAAGCAAGAAGGAGCGCCGCACCTCTGAGGGCCGGGGTCTCTCCCGCCTGTTCTCATCCTTTCTCAGGAGGCCCAAGTCTCAGGTGTCCGAAGAGGACAAAGACACTGATGGTCCTAAAGAGGTGGGAGGTGACCAGAAAGACCCGGGTTTAGGAGCCAGCCCTGATGAAGACATCCTGGTGAAAGCCCCAATTGCAGCTCCTGAGCCTGAGCTCAAAACTGATCCATCACTAGATCTCCATTCCTTAAGCAGTGCAGAAACACAGGTAAAACACCCTGCTCTGTGTGACGCGCTCCCTTCTGTTCCTGAAAATGTGTCCTTTTAACCAAAACTATAAAAACCTTCATATCCTAGGATAGTAAGCTTGATCAGAAAAACTCATGGGATGCTAAAAAGGCTCTTGTCAGCTCCCTGTGTTGCATCGCATACTTCCAACTCTTGCATTCCTGTATCAGACTGTGCTGCAAAGTACCTGCTCCTGAAACTGTGCTCACGCTTCACAGCCCTGTGCTGACTCTTTACTCTGCTGAGGCTTGGGGAGTTAACATCAGAACTAGGGTTCAGATTCATAATTCGTGACAGAGCAGTTGCTTATTGGGATGTCCTTGGTGTGTGCAGAATAAAGGCGGGCCAGTGGTGTGAGGTGGAGATTGCATGAGGATGTGGATTTGGGAAAGGATTTCTTGAACTTCGAGGAGCGCATATGTGGTGTTTCAGGACTTGGTCGTTTGTTCAGTCCAGGCTGGTGCTGAGCCTGCCAAATACAAATACTTTCTGCTTATGCATCATGTAGACAGGGATTTCTGCACAGCACGTGGGCTGAGCCCAGCTCCTCGTAGCTGTCTGATGTCTACTCTTTACAGCCAGGGTCATTTTTCATGCAAAATTTAAAGTTTTTAAAGCATGATAGAAACTGAGGCAGACACACCTGCAGGGAGACATTCACAAAGCTGCAGCTGGTTATTGATTTGGGGGTATTGGATGTCCTCTCTTACTCCTTGGGTAATTGCAGCTCTGCTGTTACTAGTGCGGAGTTAGGCAAAGGTGAGTGCCCCTTGTCCCGAGATGGGCATTTCTTACAACCCAATGAACCTGTGTGTATTGCTGGAGTCATAGCACATTTGTGATAAAATCTGGATTACTTACCCCACTGCCTTAAGTTTTGAGTGGGCTCTAGAGAGGTGTTACATATCTGCAAACTCTGACTTTTGGAGCAATACTTTACAAGTTAGAGCGTGGCCAGCTGTAAGCAGTAATTGTAAATCCACCTCCTTAAAATTACGAAGTTGTAGAGAAGGTAGTAGGTAACACCTTTTTCTTTCTTTTCTCAAATTTCTGAGCCTGTGAAAACCATGGGATGATCTCTGCTCGTGTTTTGTACCTCTGAGGGTTGAGATTAGCAGAATGGGGAGGAGCTGGAAATTTTCATGCAATTTCAGCCCAGAAATTGTGTCTTGAAGAGGAAATGCATGATTTCTTTATGTAACTTTGATTTGCTGCTTCTGAGCGCATGTGCACCCACAGCCTTCCTTCACCATGGGCTGTTTGTTTCAGACGAAGCATTTGTGCTTTTTTTTTTTTCTAGTTCTTATTTTAGATCAACGTCAGTGGCTTTTTGAACTGTGACACTCGGCAGATATTTCTGCTGTGAAAGCATTTGCGAGGTGCTGCCTGTTTGATAAATGCTGACCGACGGGCATTACGAGCTTTGACTGATTCCCTGCTCCTGATTGTCCCGGCCCTGCTGGAACAGAAGTCAGCAGCTTGTGGACATTATTTAGTTTTTAAATACCTCCGTGCAGTTGTGCCTGGGTGTGATTTCATGAGATGCGATGGGCTGAAAAGACAGGGTTTACTCTTCCTCTGCCACGGCTGCGTGTTCCTGCTGCATCGAGCCACTTCCAGCACTTGTCAGAGCCTGCCGTGAACTCGTTTAACCTGCTGAAATGGCAGTGGAAAAAAAACAACAACCCAGCTTCCTTCCTCCTCCTGTTCCCGAACTCCATCTCTTTCTGCTATTTTAGTGAATTAAACTGGCTTGCAAAGTGCTTCAGTAGGCAAAGAGAGAGTGGTATGAAGGCTGCCTTCCCTTTTTGGTGGCAGAGAGCTGCTTGATCAGCTCCGATGGCTGTGAAATCTCAGCACTGACCCCCCCCTTTTTAATGCCACTGCTGCCATACTGGGGGCCGGTGTACTGGAGCAAAGCCCATCGCCCAGGACAGCAGTGGGAACATGGGGGCACGTGCAGTGGGTGCACTGGGTGTCTTGCCTAGGAAGGGAAAAATTTACTAGTTCAAAAGGTGTTGTCATTAAGACCATGAAGATTTGCATGATGTCATCTGCCCTGATTTCTCTAATCAACCCTTTTTCCTTTTTTATTACATCCTTTATTAAATGAAGGCTTGAGAATGACTTGAAGGGCTTTAAAAATGAACGTCATTACCGTGCTCACCCAAGCTGCTGCTCCAGGTCCCGGGTTACGCATTTAAGTCAGACAACTAATTCTGGGATGAGATCCCAGCCCTGTAGTGCACCTATGCAATGCTTGTTTCATGTGATGGTTTTTTTGCTTGACACGTCTAAATTGCAACTTGGGTGATGTGGGGGTTTCAGCCTGCGCAGGAGGAGAGGAGGGACGACCAGGAGCCGGACAGCAGAGACCTCGGGGGCAAGGAAGGAGGGGAAGCGAAGGAAGAGTGCGCCAAGCCAGAGCCGAAACAAGAGACTCCGGAGACCAAAGCAGAGAAGGATTTGAAAACTGCCCAGAAAGCAGTAAAAAGACACAGAAACATGTACTGCAAAGTTGTCTTGCTGGATGATGCCATTTTTGAGTGTTCCGTGGATGTAAGTACTTTTGGGGTTTGTTTCTGCTTTGCCTCTTTTCCCTCTCCTTTCTCCTCCCCTTGAAAAATCACCGCAAACACGATTTAACAGAGGCCTAATTTTCTGCCAGTGAATTACATGACAGGCTTTACTGCAGAACAATCTTGCTGTAAGCTGTAGCAACTTATTTAGTATGTTGTAAAAATCTCTGGGTGCCTAGGAATGTTTTGGTTTTTTTTTTTATTGTTCTACAATTTCCAGGGTTCCTTGCTTTGTAAAGGTGGAGGGAAGTTTAAAAAAAAAAGAAGTTATCTTACTTGCTGTTCATCTTCTCTCTCATTTGTATCCCAGACTAGAGTTTAGGTTTTTGTGTTAGTTTGGGATTGTCTAAATATCTTTTGCCCCTTTCCTTTGAATAAAATGGGTTGTCAAACTGATTTGTGCTTTTCTGTTCAACCAAGGTACCTTTGCCTATCAGGCTGCTGACTAACATAACTCCTGGAGCTTGGATGTAAAGAAAAACATGCTGTGTTTAGCCTGCAGTTGAATGTATTTGCAGTAAACAATTTAAAATTATTATGTTGTCTTACAGCACTGCAAACCCCTTCATCTGAGAGCTTTTATTCTGCTTTATTTTGTGCATTCTCTCACAGGGCTGTCTTGCTGTCAGGGCAATAAAAAGCTAGCAGAAATCCCCATTTCAGTATTGAAGTACTTGTCCGGAATATTAATAATCCGGTACTTACCATTCGAGCATACTTCCATCAGCTTGTTTTTCCCCAGTCCCGCTGGCTAAATGGGCCGTGAGAGGGTATGTGGGCACAGGGCTCCTTGTGAAAGCAGTTACCTTGGGTGATCCTGGGCAAGTAGGTCACCACCGGCCGTTTGTGTAACAGCGTTGCTGTTGTTATTGCCTGGGATCAACTCGGAGCATCACTGCTCTGATCGCCTTCCCCTTTGCTAGGGATTTTGTGTGCAGCCTTGGAAAGGAAACTGTTCCCCGAAATGCTGGCAGCTTGCTGTGGCTTTGTGTACGAGTTTGCTGCAGCAACGCCTTCAACTACCAGCAGGCTGCGCAGACACTGTTGGTGGGAGAGCTGGTGGTGGTGTGGTTGGTCCTGACTTTGAGCAGGACATTAGAAGTCTCCTTCTGTAGGTCCAGAGGATTGCGTTGAGCACTGCAGAGAGGACTAGGAGGGGCTGCTGTGTCGGTGAGACCCTCCTGACTTGACAAGTACCCTTGGCTTTAACGCCAGTATAATTCTACTCTGCCAGTTAAGACTTAATTGAGAAGGAATTGCAAAGGTGTAGGCAAAGACCAGCACAAATGCCTTTATTCAAGAAGAAGAAGAAGTGCTTTCAGACATCCTTTCCAATTGACAGCCATGGAAGGTTTTTAATTCCTATGTCTTTAAGTGCCAATTCCTTAAGAAATATCCAGGCTAACACATGTGCTATGTTACCTATAGAGTCACAATGTATGCACTGAGGATCTTACAGCTGAAGGACTGGAATAAAACAATGCTATGTTTTTGGATCAGTTGCCGTGCAAATATGACTAAAAGGAGAGATGTGGGCACAAGTGATGCATTAGTAAAGCTTATTTTGCGTCACTGGAACCGTACTTTCTTTTTAGCAGAGACTTCAATAGAATTAGCTGCTCCTGGTTACCACAGTTTTGTGCCTCAGGGATGTTTTCCTTCATGCTTTTGGACTAAAAGGGTATCTGTTCCTAGGGCCAGTTCACTTCTGCAGGATTTGGGGGCGGGGGGGGAAGAGGAGATAGGAATTCTCAAGTGTATTTCTTCAGGCAAGAAGTTGTGTGCGAAGCAGCTTTCGGTGCGTAAGGCAAAACTGGAGAAGCTAGGTTTCATCAGCAGATCGGGTTGATGAAAAGGCCATGGAAATGATGGTCTTTGGTTCTGAGCCGCTGTTTCTTTTGTGACCCTGCTAAGCCAGGTTGCCCCCAAGATGGGACTATAGCAGTGGGTTGTAGCAGCAGTTTCATACCCTGCATTGATCATCTTTCGATAAATGCTCGATTGTATGACAGCTTGGAGCTGGGAGGTATCAGTGCAGTAGATGTAGTTTGGGAGGTAAAAACCATACAAATCCTTGGTGTTTATGGAGTCGTGTTTAGAAGTTCAGCTTTGTGGAGCTGGTGGTAGCAGAGAGAGACGCTGCAGTTCCCATTGCCTCTCTGGTTTGAATTTTTATGCCTGATGCTCTTTCCTATAAGGGGTGCTTGCTCAGAAGTGGCCAGGAGATCTGATTTTGAGCTACTCGGGACTTTTTTCCCTCTTGGCAGTGTACAGTGTGGTTTGATTACGTTCCCTTTCTCCCCTCTCCCATGAATGAGAGCAGGCAAAAACCAGCCTGTCCTACAGAATTTCTTTTGTATGAATTGGTGTGAATTTTCTTTTTGCAGAAACACGCCAAGGGGCAGGATCTACTTAAAAAAGTCTGCGACCACCTCAATCTCCTGGAAGAAGACTACTTTGGTTTGGCCATATGGGACACACCGACCTCCAGGGTAAGCAACTGCAGTTGTGTGGTGTTCTGTACCCGGGTGAGTTCAGCTCTTCTGAAGGAGGTTCATCTCCCCTGGGGAGGAGGTAGTGCATGAGCTCTTCTTAAAACTCCTTTTGGTGTCGTCCTCAAAAAAGGACTAAAAGGGTCATCACAGAGGCAGAAATTGTGAATAAATGACTACAGGAGTGTGGATTTTAGTAAAAAAGCTACATGAACTTGTATCTTCACTTGGAGAAAATTCATTATATTAGTTTACTGCAAAAAGATGCCATTAATTTTTAAAGCTGTAGCTCAAGAAGTTAGAGGAAGATAAGGCTTTTCTCACTGTACAAAAGCAGCAGGTTTTTTAATTGTGATTTTAAGAATAGGTTAGCTATTCCTAGGCTATAGAAGATGAGCCTGAATGTCGACATACTGCAAAGGGACTTCACAGTCCTGGAGCCTGTGTTCAGCAAAGGTGCAAGGCTAAGCAGTCAGCAGGAGTAAAAGCTGGCTGCCCTGGCATGGGTTGCAATTTTTTGTAAGGTTTGGTCAGAGCCGTCCAGAGCAGTTTTGAGTTGAGGCTTTGCCCTGCAAAAGAATGCATGTGACTATTCATAACAAAACTCATACTCATATGGTTTCAGTTTAAGGTCTTTGTTTGGTTAGACTCAAGCAGTGTCTTTATCTTTTAAACCCTTGGTTATGCTTTAACTCAAGCAATTACTCAAACTCTGTTTCATGAAGCTAGCCAAAAGTGTGCTAAATTGAAATTAAGGACCCATTTTTCTGTCCTTTAGCCCAGTTATGTTGGTCCACATTCTGACTGTTCCCGTGCTTCACCTACAGCAATCACTTATGGGCCATGGTACTATGGCTGACAGACATCTGTCATTAAATACTTAATAATTGCAAGTGTGAATTTTTAATACACAGGCGAAGTAACACCCCATCACTACTTGAGTCAGGCAGAGCTCTGTCTTGGATTTGTTTTACTCTCTCTGGTGTCTTACTATTTTCTTCTATGTGAAATTTGCTTCCATGTATATAGCCTGGATTTTTTTACTCTAGTAGTTTGTTGTGCTTGCAGAGGGAGGGATAGGTGTACTTTTAGATCCAATTAAGAGCAAAAAGAGTTTAGCTGGAGCAGCTCACCTTCTCACACTTGTGCTGTGGGTAGCTCACTGCTGCATCTCCTGGACCCCTGGGACTTGCTCTTCTCACGTCCAGGTGTGCTAGCATTGATTCTTCCAAATGCAAAAGCATACACCTCCTTCCCCCCAAGCTGACGGGGGATAAGGAGCTGTGCAGCTTTTTAACCATAGGGACTGAAAACAGATACTTTTGTCAGATTTGTGTCCCAGAGCCGGGAGCTGAGGATGGTAAAGCCACTGTGCATGGGTTTAGTGCCAATGGAGAGTAAGCTGCTCGGTGGAAGTCTGGTTTGCTCTGATGGGGAAAAACACCATTTTTGGGTTTTTTTGGGGAGCCTTTCTGGTTATGTTTCATCGAACTTCAAAATCTGAAGCTCCATCTCTCTCCTGCTGTAAGACCCAACACTTGATTTGCTGATTCACAAGTAGAAATGATCTTGATAGGAAACCAGTGGAAGAGCTTTTGCACCTCACCTGCAGCTGTGTGGAGCAGGTGGAGATGCACGTGTATATACCTGGACAGGGAAGGGTTGTATGCGGGATCGTCCACCTTGATATTTAGGGAATAAACATTTCTGGGGATGGGCATTTTCCCACACGGGAATAGCAGAGGGTGACAGTGGGAATAGGAGATTGTGACAGTGGATAGAGCAGCTGGTCAGCACCAAAGGAGCTTGATGCTTATGCTGCTCTGAAAGGGAGGATTGTTTCCCACCGATTCATGACACAGTGTGGATAAAAGTGCTGTTAATTGCTGTACCCATCATTGTCCGCTGGATCAGGCAGCATGAGTGCCGAGGATGCATGACTGCACCCCGGGCTCGGCTGCCCGAAACCCAGCTGTTATCACTGCAGTAATGACCAGTTGTGGCACCAGCATGGACGTAGAGATGCTCTGCTTAAAACAGTGGCCCTAAAAAGAGAGCAAGTGGCATGTGTACCTTTCAAATGGATTTTGTATCCCCAGTTTTATAGGTTAGAGGAGCAAGCGTATAAAAAGATAAGATTAAATGTAAGTATCGCTGTCCCCCTGCCATGAAGTTACGTGTCCTGGTCAAGACAGATTAACTTGGGGGATTCAATGAGTTAATTCCTTCACCTCGGGAGACCTGGACATCCAAATCCTGCTCAGGGCTTGTGAAAATGAAGAATGTGGTTTAATGTAGCCTCTTCAGGAGGGCTGTTAGCACTGTGCCATCCCCTTCAGCGGGGCAGACCCTGACCGCTGCAAAGGGAAAGGCTCAGGCTGGATGTGCTGGGAGTTGCTCAGACTGTGCTGGCAAAAGCAGGAGTTGTTTTTTGAGGCTTATATTGCACCACTGTCCCAGAAAACCCCAAATTACAGAGGGGAGGAAAAAAAGGATATATTTCTAAATTTGTAGCTGAGATAATTACTAGAAACTTGAGTCATACTTAAAAGAGATGAAGTTTATGTCACACTCCTGTAAAAGATTCCAGCCTTCCCCAGTGATTGGATGTTTTCACTCCTATTTCAGTGATTAGGTCGTTAAAAACCATAGCTAATAATAGAAAGTCTTGGCGATCTTTGTTCTGAATAGGGTAAGTATGGGACAGGGTGCCTAAAATGAATGCAAACATCCTATTTGCCTGTTTTTAAAGGTTCTGGAGAAAAAAAAAGTGTTGCACAAGCGCCCCTCATAGCTGGATGTAGCTGCAGCTGTACCTGCTGCTATGTCCTTGCAGCCCTCACATGCTGCTTTTTTTTTTTCTCCTGTTCCTCGTGCCTCCCCTACAAGTACCTGGTAGGTGAAGGGTTGGAAATGCACCCACCGAGACCACAGACTGGAGTAAAAGTTGTGAAAAATGCACTGTCTCTCCAGTTTCCATGGCTGCATTCATGTCAAATGTTGTCTTTTTGCCGTATTTTTAGCAATTTGCAGTTTCCTGTGGTGTTTCTGGGATGTCTGTTAAACTGTGAATGTTTTTATCCTCTTACAGACGTGGCTGGATCCTGCCAAAGAAATAAAAAAACAGGTTCACGGTAAGTAGATTGAATTTATGATGTGGGTGTGTGTGGTTTCTCCCTGCTTTCCTAAATAAGCGTGGCTTTGGCGGGCCATCCAGGGGGCCCAAGGATGGGTGAGAGTTCAAGTGAGGGTGTCTGGCAGGGATCAGCACAAATTCAAGCAGTTTGTGCATCCTTTCTCTTCTTCTTAAGTACTTAGTGATGCTCTAGATTTAGGAAAAAATGTAATTTCCTTGGGAAAACATAGCTTGGGGTGTGTTTGCCCTACGCAAACCCACACTGTCCTTGCTACCATGCGATGCTGAAATGGGAGATCTGCTCTCTGTTGGAGGATGGGAGAATAGGTGTCAGTGGGAACCATTTAAATCTCAAAGGAGACTGGGAGAGCCCGAGCAAAATTGTATGCGACGGCAAGGTTTTATGGACTCTGAGGCTGTTTTGGGGTCCAAATAGGAGTACTGGAATGGTAAATGGCTTGAATAGTATCAGGGCAAATACCAGATGCTCTCCAAAGTTGTATTTTAAGGTCTGCTAGCACTGAATTAGTTCCCTCAAGATGACAGCAGTGTCAAAGTTAAATAAATTTGAGAGGCTTTTGTTTTCTCTCAGGAGCAAGTCTGACTGCTTTGAAAGTAACATACTGGTCTATGAAAGTAAAATACCGTTTTACATATGCTTTTGGTGGGGGGCGCAGAACAAAGTGTGTCATTAAGTACAGATTAGGGGGGAAATGCCTCAGGGCTATGGAGTAGGAAAAGCTCCTGCTCTTACCCACTTCTTTTGGAATCGATAGCAGGATGTGTGTAAAGGGCATAAGCTGCTCTGGTCATGCCGTGCAGGTAAAATTCAGCTCATAAGTGTAATGAGCAACCTGCTATGGAATCTGATCCCCTGAGATGGGTTAAATGGCAAATTATTTGAATTTACTTGAATATATGTTGAATGTACATAGGTAACCTCTGCTACCTAAAATATTCTTCTTGGAATAACTTGTTTTGAACTGCGTGTAATGAAAACAACATGCCTTGTGTTTAATCCCTGTTATGGCATTGCATAAGAAATAAATCCATGAATGCTACGTCCCCCCTTGTCCCTGTTTGAGACTGCGATAAATCTCTGAGGAAGTTAAGTGCAGGGGTGTCTTCTCCTTCTGAAATAAGTATTATTTTGAACTAGTGTTAAGGGGCACACCAGGGGGGAGTTGTAACTATGCGAATTACTTTGAGTGCTTAATGGGTCAGTCAGGTCTATTTTCTGCAGGTAAACATGAGAGAGCAACCCCTTCAGCTGTGTCACCTAGACTGTCCATACCGTATATAATGCCAATTCTAGGTGCAATTGTGTGGATTCTCACTCCAGTTAATGCCTGTAACAGTGCTGTACAACGTTTGCAACAAGCTGTATTAAAGCATTTAGGTTTGGACTTGTAAAGCTCTTTCTGTCTTGGTGCTTGCTGGTTTCATCCAGAGATTGATGCTTGTATTGTGCTGAGTTTAAACTGTGGTCTGACCACCCCACCACAGTGCATTAGGCTGCTGAGTGAATTAGCACATCTGCTCTTTACGAGAAATTTGAAAATTGGGTCGAGTGATAAAACAGTACTAATTCACTAACTTATAGCACGTGCCTGACCTCTCTTCATGAATCCTTCTTTTCAATCAATGAAAAAATATGTGAGTAATTTAGCCTCGTAGCAATGAATTTATTTTTTTTCACAAGTTGTGGTTTATTCATGTGTATTTGCCTGCTCTGCTTTGTTTTCTCCTGCTTGTATCTTAGCTCCTGTAAATGAAACTGTGTCTTATACCGTCTGCTAAGGAGCAGCTAGCTGTGCGAGCGAGCAGTATTAAATCAGTATTATGATCTGCTGGCTGTATTTTGAAGATCAGATTGGATATTCCCAGCTTTTTTTGTAATGACTGACTATCACCAAGCTGTTCTGGTGTGCTTATTTTTCTCAACCTCTTCTTTGTAATTGCAGGAGGCCCCTGGGATTTTACCTTCAATGTCAAGTTTTATCCACCGGATCCTGCGCAGCTGACAGAGGACATAACCAGGTGAATTATCTGGGACTCTTGCTGCCAGCCAGGGGGCTCACTCAGCAAAGCAGTGAATATTGAATAGAAATTTTTAATATTTGAGTGTTTTTCCATCCTTCAGCAAGGAGATCAGATATCTTAACAGTTTGGAGGGTTTTTTGTTTGTTTGTTTTTAGTGGATGTGTGGGATGCTCCCGCTCTCCACTGAAGTCCACATGTGTAAAGCATCATCATTTATAATCCTGGCATGCATGTGTTTGTATAGGAAAGTAAATTTTTATTTAAAAACAAGATTTTCTGATCATCAGTGTCCTCGACTCCCTTTGCAAGAGTGGAGGTGACCTTAAGTCCTCCTGTTCTCCATGCTGTTTATCGTGGGAATATTACCCCATAAATAAAAATACAGGTAGAAATTAGAAACAAGCATCATGTTGCATTCATCAGTGGCATAAAAAAAAGAGATTCTGTTTGATCCTCAAGTTTCTTAAGTTTCTCTATTCTCTCTGTAAATAGTATTTTGCTTCCCCACCGCCCCCCCCCCAGGTATTACTTGTGTCTTCAGCTTAGACAAGACATCATTACGGGGCGGCTGCCCTGTTCCTTTGCAACTTTGGCTCTGCTGGGTTCGTACACAGTCCAGTCCGAGTTGGGAGACTACGATCCTGACCTACACAGCCCGGATTACATCAGTGAATTTAAATTGGCCCCAAACCAGACAAAAGAACTCGAAGAGAAGGTTGTGGAGCTTCATAAAACATACAGGTAAGGTGCGACAGCTGGAGGACTTGTTTGTGCACAGCAGCCTGAAATAATGGAAATAGTGGGGCTTTCTGGTATTTTCCCCACCTCTGTTGTATGCTTTTGGTTTCCTGCTGCACCAATTTTTTTATATTGGCAATAGAAGCTTTAGCAGTAAGGTGTGAATTTTCAGCTATTGAGAATATCAGCTTTTTTAAAAAGATCTGATACTTTATAACAAAATCTTTCTAGAAGCTAGAATTCTTTTTTCCTACATGAAGAAGAAACTATGTTTTTAGAAAGCAGATGCAAAGTCTTGCAATTGTTCATTAACAGGTATTCTTTTTCAACAGTATAGCTGTGAAAGTGGGTTTTATTTCATGTGAAAATAGAAGGTTTGCTTGTTTTAACCTTGCCCTTTGTCTTTTTTTTTTTATTTGCTTTGGGATTTATGTAATTTTTGGATTGCAATCTGGTTGGAGCAGATCTCGTCTCTTTGTGTATACGCTGTACCCTGCAGCGTGTTTGGGGTTTTCTGCTGCCACATTTAATGAGTAACACTTTTCTAACATGGAAGTATTCCAGATGATGCAGGAGATATAAACCTGCAGTTAGGCTGTCCTTGTGTTTCCCAGCACAGCCATGACCTGGGCAGATGTCTCTTGGTCAGGTAGGGTTGAAGGACTCCTGGGAGTCTCCCTGGTACCAGATTAAAGGGTGACAGTAACTGAACCTCTTCCTCATCTTATTTTGAGCTTATTTTCATGGATGCTCTCGAGTGCTTGGATTGCAGGAGCTGTGTGGAGCTGTGCGCTTGCCAGCGCAGAGGGCTGGCATGGAGAGCGGCCAGCTGGCAACTTCTGCACCCTCCCAGAGATAGATTTGGGTTTTAAGGGGGGGAAAAAAGCCCATAAAACCACTTGGTGATACCGAGGCCTTCAACCAGCAGCCCCTTGACCTGTGAAAAGCTGCTGGCTGATGCACTAATAATGAGAACAGAGCAAAGATGAGACCTTCTCGCAAGCAGATGGGAACTAATAACCTGAGTGCAGTAGGGAAGGGTGGACGTGTGCCCCCGGCTGTGACCGAAGCTACAATTAACACCTCGCTCAACCCCGCAAATCAATACTTTAAATTGATTCCCCTCCATTTGCACTGAGGAGAGAGGAAATGAGGGAAAATAAGTACCGGGCCGCTGACAAGCTTCATGACTTGAAGTCAAAGGCCGTTAGCTGTGCTAGAAGTGGCAGATCATGTTGCTGAATTATTCATGGCTTCATTAGAAGGATACTTCAAAGTATAGGATGTAGTTATATTTAATCTGCTCGTGTATGCAGGAGGAAGCAACATGTACCCTTTTAATTTCTGGTCCGTATTCTGCGAACATTAAACTGTCAGAGGGTTTTCAGTGGGAAAACTCTGCTAAACCATGCTCCATCTCTTGCTACTTTATTTGCAAAGCACATGGCACGGACCAGAGGTGACAACTGCTCCTGGATCCTTCCTAGAGGATTGTCCTTACAGTTGTCTTTGCCTGCCATGTCTCCCACCACTAAAACTTCTATTTACATCGCAAGCAAGATGTATGCAAGTGCTCAGTAAGGAAGACATCAAAGCAGGGAACAAAATGAAATGTATACAGCTGAATACTCTCCCAACAGAGCTGTTAGATGTACCTTGTACACCAGAAACTTATTAACAAGGGCACTTCAATAACATTGATAATGGCCTCCATTATCAGGATGTTTCTGCTAAGCGAAGTTGTGTTGGGTTGCCTCTCCTGCAGACAGGGTACCATCTGTTCCCAGAAAATGTCTCATTCATCTGGTCCGCCCCAGTAGGAATCATTGCTAAGTGGTCTCAGCTGCCCTCGTGTTTGGTTTGGAGAACAATAGCTGGGTTTGGGGGGGGTCTGGAGGCAGGAGGTCGGGGAGAACAGTACTTGCCGCCCTCTGCCTTCAGCTGAATTGGTGTTTCTTCCACTGAATCAAGTTTTGGACCCCGTACTGCACTTCCTCACCTGATAACTTGCTTTCTTGTCTGGGGTCTGTACAGCTCCATTGAAATAGGGTGCATCTGTTCTATGAGGATGTCTCAAAGCACAATCTGATTCTGTGGATTCAGAGCAATTTAATAATTCATCATCTGGGCACAAATCTGTTTGTATTGAAATCAAAGGAAAATCTAACGAGTAAATGGTTATGTGAAGTGTGATCTGTCCCCTCCTAAAAGCAACAGTTAGGGGAATACTAAGTCCTTTTCTCTCTTTCCCCAGATCCATGACTCCAGCCCAAGCAGACCTGGAATTCCTTGAGAATGCAAAAAAGCTGTCTATGTATGGAGTCGACCTCCACCAAGCCAAGGTGAGAATCAGTGTGTGTGCACCTGCCTGTGGATTTTGTAATTTGGTTATCCTTCCCTTGCAGGAGCAAGTTTACCTGTTTCAGGAGGCTTCTTTTGAAATATATAGGAAGTATGAAAACACAGACACACAACAGAAATGCCTCAAGTATTCTTGCAAGAGAAGCAATTCTTCCTGATTGCTTATTATTTATATATTACAGGAAGCTTTACAAAGCTACTGATGTAGACAGGTCCTTGCTCTGAGGAACTTAGAATATAAGGCTCTGACCCTGCCAGGTGAGCCACTCTGCTCAGTGAAATGCAGGATAGACTCTAGATGAGCCCTTTGAGCAAACAGCGTCTCAGGAGAGATCAGCAGAAGGGAGGCGGTTGTAAGGAGAAACGTGAAGGAAAAGCAAGCCTGGCCCTGGCTGCACAGGGAGCTGGAAGCTGAAGTCTGGGTGGTGGGGATTTGAATTCAGGGGAAGACCAAAGGGTTAATTTGGAAGGCAGACATTGACCTGAGACTTGTAACCCTGACACTGCTTAAATCCTCATTGGCTTTCCCAGGACTTGGAAGGAGTAGATATCACTCTGGGAGTCTGTTCCAGTGGCCTTCTTGTTTACAAAGATAAACTGAGAATCAACCGCTTCCCTTGGCCCAAAGTCCTGAAGATTTCCTACAAACGCAGCAGCTTCTTTATTAAGATTCGGCCAGGGGAGGTATGTTCTGACTTTTTTGTGCTCATGTCTTCTTTAATTGTCTTCTGATTCTCACCAACGTGTATGCTTTACTAAAACAAAGTAGGAGGAGGGAGCAAGCTTTTCTCTGAATGAGCATTTTGTACTCTATAGGGTTTCTGATCTTGGCTTGGTATTAAGTTCAGGCAGAGCCCGCTGACCTTGCTGAAGCTATAAACCAGCCAGTGACAATTTAAACAACGTGTCATCCAGCACCACCTCCTGGCACCGCGTGGTATTCCCAGCATCCAGAGGAAACCAGTGGGAAGTTCACAGTTGAAATTGGCAGAGGACTAAGTCCTTTTTTGCAAAGGGAGCAAGACAGAGGCTCTTTGTCTCACTTTAATTTAAAAAAAAAAAATTGAAAAAATACAGACACATACCTTTTCACTTAGACTGCAGCAGGCAGGGGGTGGCTGCCCTGACCCTGCCTCCTGTGAACAGGGAGATCCCTGGAGCAGCCTGGTCGCTGGAAACTCGGTGGGGAGAGAGGCTACAATAGAGATCTGCCTCTTTCCTCCTCTTCTTCCTCCTCCTGCTTCGACTGCCATAACCCAGCCTTGCAGGGAGGTCAGTTTTGACCCCATCCCGCAGCTGGGCAGTATGACAGGGTGTCATGGCTTAACCACAGCCAGCAACTGAGCACCACGCAGCCGCTCACTCACTCCCCCCCACCCAGTGGGATGGGGGAGAGAATTGGGAAAAAGTAAAAACTTGTGGGTTGAGATAAAGACAGTTTAATAATCAGAAAGGAAGAAAATAATAATAATAATAATAATAATAATACGACAATAATAATATTAATAATAATAATAATAAAAAAATGATTAGAATATACAGATCAAGTGACACACAATGCAATTGCTCACCACTTGCCGACCGATGCCCAGTCAGTTCCCAAGCAGCAATAGCCTGTCGCAGCCAACTCCCCCCAGTTTATATACTGGGCATGATGTGACACGGTATGGAATACCCCTTTGGCTAGTTCAGGTCAGCTGTCCTGGCTGTGTCCCCTCCCAACTTCTTGTGTCCCTCCAGCCTTCTCACTGGCTGGGCATGAGAAGCTGAAAAATCCTTGCCTTAGTATAAACACTACTTAGCAACAACTGAAAATGTCAGTGTGTTATCAACATTTTTCTCATCCTAAATCCAAAACATAACACTGTACCAGCTACTAGGAAGAAAATTAACTCTATCCCAGCCAAAGCCAGGACACAGGGGGGTAAATGAGTCTGAATGGCTGCAAAACCCATGGCACGCTCCTCTGCAAATCCCAGTGCGTCCTGAGAGGTGCCCGGGCTTGTGGCCAAGCCCTTTCTTTTCTCAGACCTGAGCTCCTCTTGCACATTGTGGAGTGAGTTCAGCTGCTCTTGGGCTAGACCAGCAGCTTGTGCCACAGCAGAACAGGTCGATGGGGACTGGACTCCTGCCACATTTTTTTCTTACTATACCTAAATAACTTCTATTTTCTGCAGCAAGAACAGTATGAGAGTACAATTGGGTTCAAGCTACCAAGTTACCGGGCAGCAAAGAAGCTGTGGAAAGTATGTGTTGAACATCATACATTTTTCAGGTAGGTTTTCTAAACGGTAGGCTTGCCTTGAATAACTAGTGCTTTAGACTAGCTGCTGAAAATGAGCACTCCTTCACTGTTCCTTAGGGTTTTGCAAAAATTGGAGTGGAATGGTTGCAGAGACATAAGTGTTTATTGCAGTAAATTTCTAGGCAGCTTCCACTTCATAAGATATGTAAGACAGAGGTCTTCTAGCTTATGTAGATGTGGGGCTTAATATTAGTGCGTGTTGTTTTGTTAATCAAGTGTATGCAGAGACTTCTTTAATTTGTATTTTAATTTCTCTTTACCTGCCTCTTCCTGGATCTGGAAGTATGATTTTTAAATTGTGCTTGTGGTTTTCAGGCTGACTTCCACTGAGGCCATCCCGAAGAGCAGGTTCCTGGCGCTGGGCTCCAAGTTCCGCTACAGCGGCCGGACGCAGGCGCAGACGAGGCAGGCGAGTGCCTTGATTGACCGACCCGCTCCCCAGTTCGAGCGGACGGCAAGTAAGCGAGCCTCCAGGAGCCTCGATGGAGGTGAGTGTGGTGCCTCTTCCCTCTCTGTGGCTGGATTCAGTAGGATGCTGAAATACTCCTTAAATACCACCTAAATTCCCTGCTTTTTTAAAAAAAGAAGAAAGCATAACTTCTCACTTTAATACAAGACCTGGATATAAAATGCAAACCGATAGTACTAGCAAGAACTGACTGACCAAAAGGATGTAGGTGGGTGCTGAAGGCTTATGGCAAAGTTCTGGTTGTAAAGATATTTCCTCATGCAATCTCAACGCATTTTCCTTTTAGCAAATCAGGAATTAAGCTATTCTAGGATTTGTTTTGTTTAACGTAGATTCTTAAATTATGTAGTTTTCCTTGAGGGGGGGATTTTTTTGCCACAACTGTTGGAAACTTTTTCAGCATCTGTTAAAGCGATGCTAATGTTGAAGTTTGTGGCATATCAATCAGGTGGGCTCATCCCTGACATTTTTAAGAGCCAGATAGCAGCAGGCTAGAGGAGGTGAGGCATGGAAGAGGGAGTGCCTAAGTTTGCTGCCTTTGATCCGGATCACGGGGTGCTTGTAAAATTAGGGTTCAGGGAAAGGGGAGCATTCCTTTGCACCAAGGGCACCTGACAGAGCAGGAACAGCGTTGCTTTGAGCCCTGAGGTTGTGCTACAACTCAGGAGGGAGCAGGGCTGTCCCAGTGCCCCGTGGCCAGCACCAGCCAGGCTGCCCCTGCTCTTGGCGTGGTTGTCCAGGGCTCAGCGACACCCTGAGCCTGGGCTTCATGCCTTAGAGCCAGCAGGGAAAGGGCTGCTTGGTTTGAGCTCTGTACCGCTGCAAAGCAAAATGCCAGCTTGCTTGCAGTCCGGGCGTGTGAGGTTACCCAAGCACGATGCACGGAGGCGAGGGGACCAGCGCTGTTGCTTGCCCTTTGGCCATGTCCTGTAGATGGTTACGACCCCCCAGATGAGTAGAGAAGTCCCTGCTGCAATCCTGCACCTGAATGTCAGAGCTTAGAAAAGAGCAGCCTGTGAACATAACGCTTCTGTGCCCGTTGAAGTCTGCAGCCTTTTTCCTTCTGCTGTGTGGGCAGTCTTTAACATGTGCCCCATTTCTTCAGCTAAACGTGCGACTCAAAAAGTTGAGTTCAGAGCCATAGAGGAAGAGAAGCAGGAGGAGGTGGTGGTGGTTGAGGTTCCCGAACCAAAACCCACGGATCAGATCCGAGAGAAGACAGGTATAGCTGTGGTGGTGGCTACAACTCTTCTGCAGCGCCTTTCCTATCCTTTACATGCTTGTTCCTGACAACTCAAAGTTTCACCAAATCTGGCAGCTTTCTTTTTTTGTTTCTTTGCAAGAAGAGTTTCGCAGTCAGAGGACAGACAGCCCAGCAGAGCCCTGGCTCTGGGAGACTGAGTAAATTTCTGCCTTGCACCTCGTTAGACTGTAATTCTTGCGGGATGTGGGGAAAAGTTTAGGATGTGCTGGCACTTGGGAAGTGCCTCCTTATTAAATTTGGGTGTTTTTTTAAATGTGGATTAGAAAATTTTAATGTGTGATCTTGAAACTTCTTGTAAAGCTTCTGAAATTCTTCATCACAGGACCTGCTTGCCATTTTTTAAGCCTGTTCTGTTTTTTTTTGGGGGGGGGGGGTGAGAAATGCCACCCATTTTGCTATATGGAGCTTATATTTCTGTTAAGATAGGTACTAGTAATAAATATTAATGCTCTTAAGAGGTGTGTAGGTACAACAGCATATCTGAATACTAATAAGCGTATCACAGCAGCAGTGTTGTCAAATATTTGCAGTCTTCATCACTTAAATAGCGAATGCCTGTGGTGCATTAGGGCTGGAGATAATTCGTATGCAAATGCATTGTGTACTGCTCCACTTCCCTTCTTCCACCCTGAATTTTTTACAGTGTGTTTTTGACATCACTGTTTTTCTAGTATGAAATCTAGATCAAGCTTTCACAAAGCAGTGTGGCAGACTGTCTCGCCACCACTGTCTTGCCTTGAATTCTCACTAGTCAGCATCGCCTGGCAGGGAAAACCTGATGCTGTAAAAACAGAAGGTGGAAAATTTAAGACACCAGGGTAGATGGCTGTATGTTCTTAATTTCTAGATTTTAAGTTGATCACTCAAGTACTTTTAATTAAAGCTGCTAGTTTTTATACAGGTTTTTATTGAGAGGAGCCTGGGTGTGTTTTTCCTGGATTTTACCAGCCAGCACCTGCATCTCCCCAGACTTTGCAGGCAGAGCCCATCCTAGTACCACGCTGGAGAGCTGTTTGTGTGTCCCCACATATCCCTGCCTGGGCAAGAAGCCTGCAAAGCTTACTTGTGTTGTTCTTTTCCCCCTCTCATCCAATACACTGTTGGGCCTGGCAGCACTAGAAAGACTGATACGCAATTGTGCAGTGAAAAATTACCATTAAGCTGCCTGGTTTAAAAATCTCCTTGCTGTTCTCAGCCGCTGCCTTGGAGAGGGATCTCCTCTTGCTCTTTCCTCTGCTGCGGCAACTGTTGCGTGTCTACGTGGTTCTCCAACCGCTCTATTAATGCATGCAAACCTCTTTCTAGCCAAACATGCTCTTGAAACTTTTGAAATGAAACCAATTGCAGAGGAGGAAGAGGAGGAGGAGAAGGTAGAGGTGGTTAAGGTTCCCGTTGCCAAGCCAAAGTTACCGGAACCGTTGCAGATGTGGTCAGGTACAGCCGCAGTGGTGTTGGCATCAGTGTGGCTCCTACGGCCGCCCATGCTGTGACCTGCTGGGTTGAAGTGATGCAGTGCTGTAGGACAGAGGTTGAATTGTTTGCGGTGGTGTTCATTGCCATTAAAATCACACCCAGCTTTGCAAGTGTGTCTGTAATATGCAAGCGCTGCTTTATTGGGGTGTGCCTCTGGGTGAGATGAGGAGGTGCCGTGCTGTGGCTTGGCTGTGTGCCTGCATGTTGAAATGAGTGTGCAGTGGCCTCTTAACGCTCCTCTGTTACTGTTCCTTCTTGTAAGGTTTGCTCCTCTGAGCTGTAGGAACGTGCAGTGCCTGAAAATCAGGTGGTGTGCTCCAGGACTGCTGGAGGTCACCTACACTCTGCTTTTTTTTCTTTGCTAGGGAGCCTGATTCTTCCCTAGTTGGGGTGTTTTTTCAGAGCAACTTCACTGCTGCAGCCAGATCCACCCTAATCATAATTAAAAGCAGAGTTGGTTAGTCATTGTAGGAAGAAGAGATTGAAGCCATGCAGGGAGGTAACTGAGAACTTCACCCATTTTCTTGAATATTATGAGAAATACTAAACCAGCCCCTGTGCTTAGACTGGAGGATATTCCATGGGACGGGCAGCAGCAGAGCAGACAGCAGCCAGTGTCAGACCCGAGCACATCCAGGAGTCTCCGGCTGCAGCTGCTCCTTCTCATTCACCTCCTGCACTTTTTCCTCCTCTTGACACTTTTGTTCCCGGGAGGGACCATTTTCTTGGCTGAGGTGATGATGATTGGTATTTTATATCTCATTTTGGAGCAGTGCTTTTTTACGGTGTTTAAATCATCATGTGTCAAAATAGCCAAAGGTAGTTAATCAAGAAAATATAACTAAAATAACGCAGTTCTGGACAGCACAGAACTCATCATTGAATGGCAAAGGAAAAGCTTGGTATCTGTTGTTACTTTTCCTGTGTGTCTTGATGCTCTGAAGCACTGTGAGAGAAGCAGGAGAGGTGACTGTGCGGATTTACTGATGGCAGTATTTCATTTGCTACTTCATCTGTGAGGTGGCATTTTAACACGTCCATAACTTTTTTAGCCAAACGTGCTCTTGGCAGTGTTGAGATAAGCCCAATTGAAGAGGAGGAGGAGGAGGAAGAAAAAATGGTGGTGATGAGAGAACTAGAGCCGGTCCCGAAGGAGTCAGGTACCACCGCGACGGCTTTGCACACCCAGCATCCTCCTAATCCCAACTGTCCCTGCCATCTCACCGTCCCTCTGTACAACCTCTCCGGTGGCTGTAACTGCTTCAGTGGCATAAATACACCAGGACGCGGCACCGGTTGTCCTTCCGAAAGGATCACACAATGTCTGGCTCGCAGAAATGAACTGCTGTGCTGAAGAGCAGGCGAGATAACAGAGATGGCGGTGGTGGTATGGGTTTTGGGGTGGATTTTCAGCAAGATATGGTGTCTAGGAGTTTGTCTTAAAAGTACAATTTCAGTCTCCGAAAAATCAGGTTCTTTTTTGCTCCTACATCTTGTATGTTTTTGACCACATGGATACTTTATTCTGTACCTGTTTTATACACACAGATGAGATGCAGTTATCTTCTCAGTGAAACAGGAGTTCTTACTAAGGAGTTACTTAAAATTACAATTTCTTTTCTAATGCCAAATTTTCTAGTGTCTTTGACTAGCTGGATGGATGCTAGTAACCTTGTATTGGCTGGGATAGGTTACACAGTGTGACCCTTATTGCATGAACTGTGACTTTAGGAATATGAGACCATGTCAAAGAAATTATTTTAGGTGACTAGGTATTTTTTCAGTGGAACAGCCATAAAAACCAAAATCAGGAGAACTAAATAGCTTACTGCATCTATAGATATGCACAGTGACTTAATTGGGACTTGCTTTGTCACACAGCATTGGTTTGAATATTTTGGAGGTGTCGAGCTTTTCTGGGACCAGGAACTGTCTGGGAAGTCAGGAATTGAAGGAAAGGAGTAGGCAGCTGATTTTGTGTGTACCTAGCACTTGTATTTAAGACTGTCATCCTCTGGAAAGATGATTTTTTGGCAGCATGCTATTCATTTCTGCACTGTCACTGATCTGGAGATGCTGGGTATCTTCTTGCAGTGGTGCCTTGGGCTGCAGGAGCAGATACCCATCTCAGACACGCAGCCCCAGCCTGCTTTGAAACCCACCTGGAAGTTGCTGTGAAGTTTTAGAGAGCAATGCTTGTTGATTATTTTTTTGTTTGAATTGCTGAAAAGATTGGGGAGATGGGGGAAAGCCTGTGTTGCCCTTCCAGAAACCATCTGTTTCTGTTTGAGAAGATGCGAATGAGTCAAGAACTCACTACAGCTATAAGTGTTTCTATTTTAATGGTTGCATTGGAATGGACTTCTGTGTCAGTTGTGTGTGAAGGACCCAGAAATTGATGGCACAACGTCAAAAATAAATTTGCCTTTCTGGTGTGGCTTCTCTGCAGAGTGCAAGCTTGCTTTTTGTAAACCATCTGTTGTGGGGTTTTATTTTATTTTATTTTTACCATAAGGAAAATAATCTCAACTTTCCTGTACTAAATGCACAAGCTGCTTTGCTCAACATCTTTATTTCTTTTCCCTTTTTTTCCTCCTCCTCCTCCTCCCTTTCTTTTTAAACGTCAGCACTGTAATTAGGAAAGACTTTGCCTGGCGCTTTAGAAACGTTGCCCGCTCTGAACCTTGTCCCTGTCTGTCTCTCCCCCATACTCAGCAGTGGCTGTGATAACCCCTGAGAGGAGTCCCCGTCCCACCTCTGCCCCGGCCATCGCTCAGAGCCACGCTGCAGAACCAGTCCCAGCTAAGCCAGACAGGAAGGATGCAGTTGCTGCATCTAAAGTAGAAAAGGAAACAGCAAAACCCGATGCGAGACGTGAAGAAATCCCACCGGAGAAAGCCAAGCCGGAGCCAGCCGATGCGTCAAAGGTATGTCAGACCAGAGTCTCTTTGGAAGAGGCTGCGCTTGTGCTGGGCTGGAGCATCAGCTCTAGAACCCACCCCAGAGCAGCAGCTCTGTGCACCTTCCCCTCCTGGGCAGCAAAGGGTTTATTCCTTGCCCAGACATGGGGTGGTGCGGGGGTCTGGGTCCCAGGGAAATCCCAGCCCTGACCCTCCAGGTGCAAGGAAGGAGGAGGTCCAGGGCGGCCGGGTTTTGGTGGTTGCAGTTAAACTAAATGCAACTTACTGATAATGGCGTTAAAAAAGCTGGCAAGAATTGCATGCAAGTTTATGGTACGTGAATATAGGGCTCACCCATTGCTAGGCTGTCTCGGCTGATTCCTGGTACGACAGCAGGAGCAATTCCAGTGAAATTGGTGATACAGATCTGGTCCACAGCCCAGCGTCTGAATGCAAATGTTTTTTACATTGATAGGCTTTCTCTGGGAGAGCTGTTAATATGTTTCTGCAAACTGGACTAAAACTTTGGTTTTGAATGGTACTGTTGAGACATTAGGGAGTTTATTGTTTAAATGAAATTTTTTTAAACATTATTTGAGCTTTCTACAGATGTCTGAGTCCTCTGCTGATGTTGATATATGTGTATTGTTCCCAATAGTGAACATAATGTGAAAAATAATTGTTCATATTACAGTGTCCTTAATATTCTGCAAATCTTATTGACTGAAACCTTCCAATGTTGCAGCAGAGCTGTATGCCTTGTGATACAATTTTCACATTACTCTGACTATTTAGCTGTTCTCAGCATTACCGGAGCCACATTTTTGCTGTAACGTATCACGTGGTGGGTCTTGTATGACGTACTCTAGGGGACATCACTATTAATTAAGTTGGGAGATGGAGGTGAAGAAAGGACAGTTGCTTTAAAGAATTTTGTGGCCTGTGTGACCAGTAATTTTTAAAGGAAAATGCTGAAGGGGTCTTCAGGCTGGCACTTTGGAGCGTGCATCGTGGCACACGGTTCCTGTAATGCTGTTCCTGCACGGCTGCTCGCCCTCCCTAGCATTAAACTGAGAACAAGTAAATTTTATTCATCCCATCTCTCTTATTACAGGGTCCTTTTCCTAAATGCTTTAACACTGGATTTTTTTTTTTCTTTAAATGTAGATGTGGGAGGAAATTGTGGATTTGAACGTGCCATATTTACCCTGTTTCTCAAATGTAGCTGCATCACTTCATTTAACACCCACCGATGCTTTCGCCTTCAGAGTATTTGGCAATCCAGTTTCCCTAAAATACTTTCCTTAAAGTGTTAAGACAATCTTGGCTCTCTACTTACAGACAGTAAAGAGCTTAATTTGTGATGTTAGGCTTGATTTTGTAGATAGGTCTCTTCTTACTGACTCTGTGAGCATAATACCTGTGCATAACAAATAATTTTCTGGTTTTGAGAAGGTCTGTGTTAATTTGAGCATGTTGCTTTTGGTATGGATTTCACTGGGAGATCCAGCTGCAACTGAAATTTGAAAACATTGCCTGGCAAAGCTAATGCAAGTGGGAAGCTCCTCTTCAGAAGCACTAGAGAGCACTGGTTTCAAATGCAAATAATTCTCAAGCTGAAGGAATTATTGTAAATGTGCTGTTAACTAACAGACTGTCAGAGAGCTGCGGTGTCATTAACTCTTTCCGGAGGACTGCATGTTGGTTTTTGCATGTTCACCCAGCATTTCAAAACCAACTTTATGCAGCTGTGTTTTGAAACTAAATGGTCTCTTTAAACAAGTCTACTAACAAGAAATGTTTTTACCAATTTATTTCTTAAATGTAGGTGAGGAAAACGCACATTGAGGTCACAGTACCCACCACGAATGGTGACCAGCCCCAGGTTTGTGCTAATAATTCAGTTAGGTTGCTCACTTTTTTTTTTTTTTAAGGTTAAACAGTGAGGTTCAACATAGTTAAATGAACCAACAACTTTTTTTTTTTTTTTTTTATCACTGCCAAACAGCAGCAGCCTGCAGAAAAAGAGGAAGAACTGATAAGAATGAGGAAGGTTAGCCATTTTACACTTTCACCAAACAAATTTGCCATATCATTCATGCATCTGTAACCTGTTTAAAAAGACAGTGCTCCAACTTCATGTGCTTTGGGTTGGGTTTTTGGTTTTTTTTATAAACTGCAGCTATCAAATATTTGATTTCAAAATGAACAGCTTTTTGTCCCATAGACAGTCTGATTGCTAAAATTATGCATGTTGAATGTTCGAAACACACTTGGTTTGATTGATAAAATTTATCTTCTCTGTAACAAATTTAATTATAAACCGAAGAAAACCATATAGTGTGCACTTCAGGGGAAAAAAGAAAAAAGTGTAATGCTTTTTTGTATTGATTGAGTAATAGGGGAAGTATCCAAGATGGGAAAGATGCTTAAGACATAGTTACTGTGCACATTGAGGCCCTGTAAAAGTTACACCAGGCAGTACAGCCTCGTACACTGGGGTGGGCATGCATCACTATCAGGAATATGAAGTTGTGACTTTGTGCAAGGCTTCCACTGAAAATGGGTAAACTGTCTCTTTGTGGCAAGCAATATAAATGAAGGCAAAAGCCGACGGAACGCCTGGGAGCTGTCTCTTTAAAGGACTCATTGCATTTCCCCATTCTCCATGAGCAAGAACCCCCATTTCTTGGTGGTGTCCCTGTGGCTGGGTCCCCACCCCACGCTGGCACAGTGCTGCACTCCCAACGTTGAGTTAACTTTTTTAATTTGCCAATTTGTCAATCCCGCAAGAACAACATTTTAATTTTTTGTGCTTTTCTTTTTTTTTTTTGTTTTGTTTCCCCCTTTTCTTTCATTTTCACAGAAAAGATCAAAGAGGCTAGATGGTGAAAACATTTATATCAGGCATAGCAATTTAATGTTGGAGGTTTGTATGAACTTGAAGCTTTTTTCAGTTGCGTTTGCCTAGACCTTCTGCATCTGCGCTGAACTTTTTCTTCCTCTTCTGCTGCTGCCTTTGTTTTTGCATGCTGTTGCATGAAAGACTTTTTTTTTTTTTTTTTTAATACGCTTTTGCATGGTGACAGTAAACATGACGATGTGCAGGCATTCTTCCTTCTACCTCTTCTGACTTTCATTCTCTCATACTTACCCAAAATATATGATTGGCAGAGCTGCGTGCTCAGGTCTGCTCTTGGATCCACAGGGTGCTCACAGTGACATGAATTGTGTGTGGGGGGCTCATTTACAAGATTCTCCTTGCTTGAAATAAATTATTTTCCTGGGGGAAAAGACAGTCTATGAAAATGCAAAATTCAGGACAAGCTGCAGGTGAAATTGTCACCTCTGTGGCATTCAGGCTACTGCGATGTCCACATTGCTTCAGACAGGAGCGAGTCCTCCTTTCAGACGTTGCTGCTGGTCTTGCAGCACTGCAGTCCCTTCTCCCAATGCTTACTTGCCTTGCAGTGGCTTTACCGGTCCCCGGGGCCCCATCCTGCATCGGTGCCGGGTCCCCTTGGAGCTGATGCGGGGGCTCGATGGTCATGGGTGGCTGGCAAGCGGGTGAGAAGCCATTTCATCCCTCCCCGAACAGCTGTTCCCTTTGGCTTTGGGAGCCCTTTACACTTGGTTTCACCTAAGCACGGTCTCAGAACAGACCATGCCAATCATATATTTTATTTTTTTTAATACACTGTGTTATGGAAGACGTTTTGTGGCTTCTGATATTCTGTGTTACGTGTTTCTACTCAAAATTGCAGCACCAGCAGCTGGTAGGGTTTCCATGTTGGTATCTCTTGCAAGTGAAGTGTACTAACTGCTTCCTCCTAATCTGAATTTTAAAAGTTTTGCAGCTTTTGGGTGTTGGGGTTTTTTTAAAAAAAAAATTTTTTTTTTTGACTGCTACAACTTAGAGCTTTCGGCCATGAGCGAAGGGTCTGCGGCACAACGGGCAGGGTTCAGCCGCTGGAGTGCTGCGAAGACTGTGCCTGTTGCTTTCTTTCACCCAACTCGAACAGCTCTATCTCCCCGACCCCAAACAGAGCTTTTTCATTGCTTCTAAACCCCTTTTTCCTGTTAGTGCAATACTTGGCTCTGGCACCCGGCCCCTTCTCCAGCCCGTTCCCTCTCTGCTGCCCTTCCCACTGTTCTGTTGCAGGTGCTCCAGCCCTCCCATAGAAAAGGGCTGACCCCAGCAGCTCACCTCCTTTATTCCTTTTATTTTTTTTTTTTTTTATCCATGCATTTGGCAGATGAGATATTTTTCCGGCAGACCTCACACTCCCGAAGCTGCTATTTGATTTTGTTGAAAGCTGTTTAATGCTCCGTGCTCGATAACCCATGCTCCGTGTTCTTACAAAAAGGGCAAAACAGGAGGAAAAGCATTAATGCTTAGCGAGCTTGTTCCTCAAGATGCTTTCAAGACCCATTTTGGCTCCACGTAGCTCCTCGTGGCTTTAGCTTCTCTGCAAATCCTCCCAGGACCAGCTCTTGCGCAGTGGTGGATAGCCAAGGTGGTCTTTCTCTCTTCTCTAAACCAGGAGCAGCTGTAGGGCTCCTGGACCTGGGTAGGTCTTTATCCTGGAGTCCTCGGCAGACTTATTTGTGCTTTTTTTTCTAACTAGCAGGCACTTGCCTTGTGGTTTCATCCGGGATGGATGCCAAAACTGTTTTTTTTCCCCCAGAACCATGCCAAAAAGAGCAAATGTTGTTAATGAGGCATTTGGGGCTATAGCCCAGCAGAGGGAGGGCAGTGTGTCCTGGGTAAGCTGCAGGGACACAGATATTTGGGGGGAGACCCCTCCTTTAGGGATGCATTTGCTCTCCCATCTTCTAAAATCGATGGGCTGAGTAACAACTAAAGGCACAAAAATAGTGAAATTGCCCAGCAGTGCTTTTACTGACCTTAATTTCCCCCTTTCTAACAGGTGAGGCTTGCTGCTTTTTGGCACTGTCCAGAAAAGTTGTTGTTTGGCTTATGCCTATTTTATGCAAATGCTTTGTTTTCAACAAACTCTGGTTTGCTTGCAAGGAAAAGCTATTTTTAAACAAGTTGAAGAGAGCTGACTTGCCTTGAAGTCTGTGCATCTATGCTGTAAACTGGCATCACAGAGCAGAAATCTGGCTTTTTCCACATGAAGAATTTTAGCAGGAGTTTCTTGATTGATCCAGCATAAAGTAAATTCTCAGTTTGATTTTTAAAGGGCTCATCTTCATTTCAGAAGTCTAAAACTTCCTGTGGTAGCTGCTGGAGGGATGAGATGAGAGGGGGGCAAAAAAGGTAATGGGGGTATTCTGGGACCAGAGCTAATTCCTGGTAGGATGAAAGAGAAATAAGTATGAAGAGAATAAATAAAATTGGGAAAACATTTTCTTAAACATTAATTGCATTTATAGCTGTGAATATTCAGGCTAGCAGAGGGAAAAGAAAGCAAACCCACCCAATTTAAAGGCATTAAATTAAATAACCCAAACAAACATAGTCTTGCAACTTAAAAAAATCCCATATGGGGAAAACCCGTGAGATTATGCCTCAGCTGTCATCTGTTTTGGTGTAGCTCGAGATGAACCAATGGCACGTCCCGCTCCTGGAGGAGACCCCACTCCCTGCCGATTGCAGTTTATCCCAAATAACACAAGAGGAAAGAGGAGAGAGGACGCTCCCTTTGTGTGTTTGCAGTGTGAGCACAATTGATGGAAGTCGGCAACAACTCTGCTGAGCGCAGCTTTGCTATGCGGCAGCCTAGGCAATCGCAGGTGTCATCTCCGTGTCTCTTCATTTATCCTGTCCTTTTACTAATAGGATCTAGATAAGACCCAAGAAGAAATAAAGAAACACCATGCCAACATCAGTGAGTTGAAGAAGAACTTTATGGAGTCCGTCCCGGAGCCTCGGCCGAGTGAATGGGACAAACGTTTGTCCACTCACTCCCCTTTCCGAACCCTCAACGTCAACGGGCAGATTCCCATGGGAGCGGATGGAGTGAGTACCTCGGCGGCATGTGGGTGTTAGTGCACTGCATTGTTCCAAGGGACAGCTTTGCAACCTAGGATTCAGCCTCAGCTCCCCTTAGTTTTTAGTTATCTTGAATTTTAATAGTTAATATTGACTTCTAACATGTATAGTGGCCTCTGAGAGAACCGATGCTTTAGTTGTAGTATCATAAAAATGTGATTTTTTTTTTGGTAGGCAAGAAGGTAGGAATTCTTCACCAGGTTTTGATGCTGCTTTTCCTAGCGTGGCTTTCATCCATGGTGATAAACTTTATTTCACATGGCTGTCTTGGGGACTGGCTTATTCCTGGTGCCAGGGAATGTATCTCCCCAAAATGTGGGAAAAAAACCCCAAAACCCAGACACCTAAGTTAAAGGCAATTATTACTTCAGAGATAATAGTACAGATCACCCAGTGGAGAAGCACTAGGATGGTATCAATTTTCAGAAGTCACTTTATTCTCCAGTTAATCTGGTATGTCATTGGGTTTAGTCTTGCATTAGGATCTGCAGGTGCTGATCTGCTGTGGAGGCTTCAAGAAGACTCCTCAGGTGGCTACAGCAGGGCTGTTCATACATGATGGAAATCTTTCTCCTTACAGGAACAGTGCCTGTATGTTAGTAGCGACATACATTCACAGTTTCTCTGCTAATTTCCTTAAAAAGGTAATTTTTCAAAGAAACCGAGTTGGAGAAGCAGAGATCTGTCTGCCAAATGGTTTCTTCTGGGATAACAGACAGTTTCTCTGTTTAATATTGGTGTTACCTAGCTCAGATTTGAAGCTTGTGAGTAAAACTGTAGTTAGACCCAGTGGTAATCAGTCTCTTAAACAGTAAATGCGATTTTTCTTACAACTGAAAAATTGCATCCTGGCTGCAGTGGTGGCAGTTTGTAGAGTCTCTCCTGGTTTAAGCCTAGCTTCTCCCGTTGCTGCCCACAGCGCTGCAGATAAGCTTGCATTTCATCTTCAAACAATTGCAAGGGAGATACTTTTTAAACAGAAATAATCTTGCAGTGGAGGGAGGATTATCAGAACAGGTACAAGGGGTTTTAGCAGCCAGGTTTACTACAGATTCCTCAAAGCATAGAGAAAAGTCATGACAATTATAGGGCTTCCCCCCCTGCCCCCCACCCCCCAGAAAAACAAAACTCACAAAAAGAACTAATGAGGATTGATCAGTATCCTTGGAATTAGTGTGTTTAACACATGGATGGACTTGCCTCTGGTTGCTGAGTCTCAGTGTAAATTCTGCAGGAATTTGGGCAGCAGACTGATGCAGAGCTTTGCCCATGGTGCCACGTGGTTTATGGATGTGCGGGTGGGATAGAGCAGGGGCTTTCAAGCTCCACAGCTGCAGTTTAGGAATTATATTCTTGGTTATTATGAAGAATTTCTTGCATGGTGACCACATTGTGGGGTCTTGGGGGGGCTGCTGTTCATGATAACTAGATGCTGTGGGTTTTCCCCATCTAAGGCTGCAGTGGTCCACAGCGATGCAAGGATTGATGTCAACCCTGGATTTGCATTTCTGGAAATTCCCTCTTAATCTGATCCTCTCTGAAGTAGTCTTGCTCTGAGGTGGAGGTGGACATGTTCTGCTGTGAACTTCCAGAAATGCATCTTCACCAGGCACCTGCCAGGGAGGGTGTTTTCCTTCACCTGCACATGTTTTAAGGATGGTAAATCACTTAATGATTACTTATCGTTATCATTGATTACTAAAGATCGCTTAATGTTTAAGGATGGTAAATCACTTAAAGATGTAAAGCAATCCTGTTTCTCCTGTTCATGGTGGTATCTTCACCCTGCTGTAGTGGCCAAAGGGTATTCTGCCAGGGGCTGCTTTTCTGCTGTTCCTATATGTTTTATTGCAAGACAACTGAACCTTAACACGCTTTGTGTGTCCAGGTCAAGAAAATCACTGTCCTATCTTCTGAGAGACAGGTTGGTGGGCTTGAGGTAAAGCTGCTGTTCTGATATGTGCTTCTGAACCAGACTTTTGCTATTGCAATGGCACCAAGCAAAAACTCAACAGCAGCTGCTGGATAACATTTTTTTCTTTTGGCTACATGATGTAGTTTCATAACTCACACCGAGAGGACTTCTGCACTGCTGCAGCTTTTGCAGCTTTCAATTTTGCTTATTTTGGTGCATGGCTGGTTCGAAAAAGCTGCATGAAAGATATAACCGTGTATTCGGAGAGAAAAGCAATTATGAAAGTTTAACTGTACCCTGTTCTTTTTATGTTGTCTTTCTTTCCGTTTTTTGTTTTAATGATCATGTTACTCTTGCATTTTATATTTTCTTTTGCTGCCCAGTCTCCCAGCTACTTTCTCCCCAATACTCATCACTTAGGGGTGTGCAAAGAATCAGTCCCAAAATACCGCACTGATCAAAGGAGGCTAGCTCAACTGAGAGAGCTTAGAGCCAAGTTTTTCCTCTCCTAGGTACACTTGGGTTTGACCAGGTCTGGCAAACTAAAGGGATGGAGAGTTACTAAACAGCAACGTTTCCCACTATCTTTTCTTTCTTCAACGGAAGTGCTAGAGCCCTTGCATGATCCTGTGTGATGATTTACTTGTTCTGGTTTTTTACATTCTTTAGACTCCAGAAACAAAAGTGCTAAAAATGCGGAGCCAAATTTAAGGAGTTTGCAGTGCTCCTACTGCCATCCTGCCTGTTCCACGCTTGGGATTTCTAAGATTAACAGTTTTTCACTTGTTCCAGTAGAATTTTCAAAACAATCAAAATTTTGATACTCTTGTCAGAACTTTGAAAAAGCATTTTGTATCTGCACTGCAGTCTGGATGTTCAATGATATTTAACAGACGCTATTTTTTAAGGGCACTGTAGAACAGGAAGCTGTCAGAGACCACATTTTGTACTACACCATTTCTATTTCTAATGCCTCAGACTTTTTTCTCAACCATTCCAATTCCAAAACACACTTCAGTAAGTTTTGAGCATACGCTTTTCTGGGAGGGCAGGCACAAAATACGCATCATCACAATCCAGAGCTTTGTGTCAAAACACATGTGATCCTGATCCAGATGTTCATGAGCTCTGCAGAAAGCGCAAGGTTTTGTAGCTCTAAGGCTGGTGTGACCCGAGCCACCAGCGGCTCTGCTCTCCAGGGCAGTTTATTTTTCCATTGAGAGGAAGGCTGTCCTAACGCTTTGCACACCTCCAAGTATCATTTTGGGCACTTTCCATCTGTCATTTTTGTTCATCTCTCTCTGTCTTTCTTGATCTTCTACCACGAAAGCAGACACAGGAACGTCCTCTGTTAGTACAGGATGAAGACAAACTAAAAAAGCAGGAGATACCTACTGAGACAGCCTTTCCCCGGCAAGCAAGTGAAGAAACTCTTCCAAAGGTTTCTATTCCAATTCCTGAAGAGCAGAAATCACTCAAAAAGTGTCAGCTGTACTCTAGCATTTTTCCTTCTCCACGTATTCCCTTTATGATGTCCTTTCTCCTGGTCATAGCACTGACTGTTTGGTGGCTGCTCTTTCTCTGAGTGGCAACAGGGTCATGTTGAAACCTCAAGACCAAAGCTCCAGAATTTCTTGGCCGTAGCCTCTGCCGCATCTTCCTTGTCCTGGTCTTTGATCTCCATAGTTCACTGTCCCGGGGAGGGACACCCTGCGACTGTCGTGTTAATCCTGCTGTGTGTCGTTGTGTAGCTGTGATCCAGGACCTGGCAGGAGTGGTCATGGATTGCCAGGTCCATTTTGAAGTTTCCTAGTGTGCTAAAGCAAATTCTCTGAACCGTGCTCCTGATTGCTGTAAGAGGGCAGACGGGGAGTGTAAATACGTGGGAGGAGATGTTTGCTTCTTCAGCCCCTGTAGATGCCACGTAGGAATAGCTGAAGACTTGCTTTTAAGCTTGTTGTTTTAAATGTAAGATGTTCACAAGCTGAAGAACATTTGATACTGATCCAAAAGAAGCTTTACAGTAATCTGCTGAATCTAATCCATAACCACTCCTTTTCTAGGAAACTAATATTGGCATTTAAATAAAAAGTGTTGATTATCAATGCTGCTGTTAGTGCTAACTTAGAGACAGAGACAGGCAACTTTTCATTTTCCCAGTGGGGGAAGCGTTTTGCAAAGCATCACAGCTTCCCTCTTGCACCCCTATTCTTGTTTCCAAGAAAATACATCATGTTGTAGGAGAAAACCCGTTGCAAGGAAATATGTATTGTAAACATAGATTAATCATTTTTCTGAATCTGGTGGTCTTGGTGCACTTCAGATGTGTTTTATTTAATTTGTGTTGAACTAACTGACGCATGTTTGCTTAGGTCACAGGAATGGAGTAACCTACTGTTAGGTACGTCTCCTCTGTTAGCATGTTGACTTTACCACATCAGGACACACTTCTAATGTTAAAGCCATCGATTGTTTTGACTTCTCTAACAAAACCGTTGCATGCCGCTTGTCGTTTATTGCCTACAAATGTAAATGTCTGGATGATGGTCACGTTTATCTGAGTTACCCTGGTTGAGCTGTGTAGGCTCCAAGATGAGTTGCCCAGATGGGCTGAGCAGAACTGGTTTACGAGCTGGAGTGAAGATGGGACTTTGTGTCTAAGGGGTTTCTTTTCTGTATATAGTAATTATGGGACTGAGCTGAGCCCACTGCTTCTCCTTTCGGTAGTAATCTGCTTTCTGTTGCATTCTCTGGAGGATTGGTGTAGACACAATTACTTCTGAGAACAGCCACCAGTGCCATCAGTGTTGGCAGCTGCTCCAGCAGCACAGAAGAGAAAGGAGCAGACTTTTATTACAGGGACTAAAATGTGTGAATATATATAAATACATGTATTTATAACCCTTTATAGATCTGTATCTGTGTGAACAGTGTTATTTAGGAAGCTAGCAGATAAGCTTGCAGGAAAAAGACATAAGGCAAATACGGCATGTGCTGTCTGATCTGAAGGACCGTGGTGTATCACGGACCATTTGAACTGCCTCTCTTGCTC